TAATCCATCCTATACATTGACACATTAAGAGATAATTCATCATATACATTGACACATTAGGAGATAATCCATCCTATACATTGACACATTAGGAGATGGTCCCGATAATCCATCATATACATTGACACATTAGGAGATAATCCATCATATACATTGACACATTAGGAGATAATCCATTATATACATTGACACATTAGGAGATAATCCATCATATACATTGACACATTTGGAGATAGTCCCAATAATCCATCATATACATTGACACATAAGGAGATAATCCATCATATACATTGACATATTAGGAGATAATCCATCCTATACATTGACACATTAAGAGATAATTCATCATATACATTGACTCATTAGGAGATAATCCATTATATTCATGGACACATTAGGAGATAATTCATTATATACATTGACACATTAGGAGATAATCCATTATATTCATGGACACATTAAGAGATAATTCATCATATACATTGACACATTAGGAGATAATTCATCATATACATTGACACATTAGGAGATAATTCATCATATACATTGACATATTAAGAGATAATTCATCATATACAGTGACACATTAGGAGATAATCCATCATATACAGTGACACATTAGGAGATAATCCATCATATACATTGACAAATTAGGAGATAATCCATTATATTCATGGACACATTAAGAGATAATTCATCATATACATTGACACAATAGGAGATAATCCATCATATACAGTGACACATTAGGAGATAATCCATCATATACATTGACACATTAGGAGATAATCCATCATATACATTGACACATTAGGAGATAATCCATCATATACAGTGACACATTAGGAGATAATCCATCATATACAGTGACACATTAGGAGATAATCCATCATATACATTGACACATTAGGAGATAATCCATCATATACATTGACACATTAGGAGATAATCCATCATATACATTGACACATTAGGGGATAATCCATCCTATACATTGACACATTAGGAGATAATCCATCCTGTACATCGACACATTAGGAGATAGGTCTTGGATGAAATATCTTCTCATGGGGACCAGACTAAGGTATCAGGTTTGTTAAGATCGTTGACCTTGACCTGATTTCAGGTTATGGTATATAATGATATACTGATCTGTATATATATACATATATATGTTAGTTTTCCAAACATTCAGATGGTTAATGATGTGAAAATGTCATTTGGAGTAGAACAAAAACTGCAGCCTATCAATACATTTTGGAAAGGAGGATAATTTTCAGCTGAGGGTGCTATCTTATATGTATTATCTATGATCTGAATTATGATTTAAACATTTTTAATGTTAGATAACAACCTCTTGTTCTACTCTGTAGCATCCTCTCTATCATGTGTACAGTGGTACGTGTACTACACATCGTCAATGTCAATCAATCATCTATAAAGATAGATATTACAGAAAAATTTGTGAAACTTTTGTTTTATCTCAGAATATATCCAGGCTTCAGTCGACAGAAATCAGTAATTGAATGGAATTTCCATTAATATAGTAATAAAAATGGTATCTCCTTAATGTCATGTCTGTTTATTTTACTCTCCGGTAAATATCTTTTCTTGAAACTTCAGTTTTTTCCCAATGTATTCTATATAATTCAACATCTGATAATGTCACCTATTTTCATATGGGCAACGCTTAATATCACAGATTTTGATGACCATCACAAAAAAACCACAGGTAAATCACGGTTAAGTAAGGACAGGAACTATGGCTTCATGCCTGAACGGCTTTACGTCACACCTGGACGGTGTTATGTAAACATCATCACCGCCATACTGACCATCTGTACTATACTGAAATTTCCAGGGATGTTATCACTTCATTTGAATTTTCATGGATATTGAGAGTTGCCTCATTTTGGATTTTTTTTTTTTTTTATTTAACATGGAATATTGATACATTGAAAAAAGGGAAAGAGTTCCTTGTGAACCCCCCACCCAAAATGACTACCAGTAAGCTATAATAAGTATCTTAAAGGGTTTATTTTAAGGGGTACCAAGAAAAATTGGGGCATGATCTTAAAATTAACCCTTTCAGACACTGGTATTATATTTACCAGGTATGATAACCCATTGGTAGCCTCTTTGGGTGGGAGGTTCAAAAGGAACTCTTACCGAAAAAAGGACTTAAAGGTTCTACATTGAAAACCGTCTCATGAAATTCTTTACATTCTCAAGTAAAATAATCACATTCTTACATTGTGTTGATTGTATTTGAAGCTGGAAAATAAATCAAAGGGATTATTGACATCAATTTCGATATAAAAATCCTTTCAAATCCAATATTTGAATATGTTAATAGTCATCTACATTTTTTTATTTCAGATTTTGATGTATAATCATACACTCTTTATCCCAAATATAGGGGGAATGTAGTGTACAATATTTAATGTGTTTATCTCTTCATAATTTCTATTTTCAGATTTTTTGAAAACCAAATGTTGAATAATGCTGAGAAAAGTTTAGAAGCTACCTGCAGAATTCAGAAAAAAATGCATGTCTCATGCATTTTGTTTCATTTTTAAATTTAGATTTTCATATATATTTTTTTTAATTTTACACCTTAAGTTTTATTTTTTATTACCTACATGCATGGCTACAATGTGTGCTTGTTGTAATGTGTGTTGCATGTTGTGTTTGGTAAAATCTTTGGTTGAAACCCACAAAGGATAAAAAGTACAAAATCCGAGAAGTCTTTTATTTCAAATAAAAATTCATTAATAAAAAGATTTCCAATGAACAAAAAAATTTGAACATTTTTTTTTATTAAATCAAATACAATTTTGTTTTATTTCCTTATTTTCTGATAGACAATAATTAAGAATTTAATATGAATTTGAATTAGAATTGAAAACATGATGTTTAACCTAAATATGAACTTTCCAAAGCATGTACTCCATGTGTGGGAAGGATTTACAAACAATTTACACAAGTGTAGTAAATAACACATGTAGATATTGTGATAGACACTCTTACTTAAACATATTTCTAGTGAATTATTTGTGCCTCATTAAGTATGTACTGGACACAGTATACTTTTCTTGAGGGGCAAAATTGATTGATCTTCTCTTGTTTATTTTTGTGTTTCCAACCACTAAGCTGTTTTTCTTTTGACAGTCGATTTTCAGTATAAAATTTTATAGAAAAAATGGTGAGGATAACTTTGATGCCAACACAGCACTTCTGTAGGTCATTAACACAGCAATGATGGTTACATAGTGGGACAACCAGATTAGTGGTGACTGGATTATAACCATGACAACCAGATTAGTGGTGACTGGATTATAAGTGGGACAGTCAGATTAGTGGTGACTTGATTATAACTGGGACAACCAGATTCGTGGTGACTGTATTATAACCATGACAACCAGATTAGTGGTGACTGGATTATAAGTGGGACAGTCAGATTAGTGGTGACTTGATTATAACTGGGACAACCAGATTCGTGGTGACTGTATTATAACCATGACAACCAGATTAGTGGTGACTGGATTATAACCGTGACAACCAGATTAGTGGTGACTGGATTATAACTGGGACAATCAGATTAGTGGTGACTGGATTATAACCATGACAACCAGATTAGTGGTGACTGTATTATAACTGGGACAACCAGATTAGTAGTGACTGTATTATAACTGGGACAACCAGATTAGTGGTGACTGTATTATAACTGGGACAACCAGATTAGTAGTGACTGGATTATAACTGGGACAACCAGATTAGTGGTGACTGGATTATAACTGGGACAACCAGATTAGAAGTGACTGGATTATAACTGGGACAACCAGATTAATAGTGACTGGATTATAACTGGGACAACCAGATTAGGAGTGACTGGATTATAACCATGACAACCAGATTAGTAGTGACTGGATTATAACTGGGACAACCAGATTAGAAGTGACTGGATTATAACTGGGACAACCAGATTCGTGGTGACTGTATTATAACTTGGACAATCAGATTAGTGGTGACTGGATTATAACCATGACAACCAGATTAGTGGTGACTGGATTATAAGTGGCACAGTCAGATTAGTGGTGACTGGATTATAACTGGGACAACCAAATTAGTGGTGACTGTATTATAACTTGGACAATCAGATTAGTGGTGACTGGATTATAACCATGACAACCAGATTAGTGGTGACTGTATTATAACTGGGACAACCAGATTAGTGGTGACTGTATTATAACTGGGACAACCAGATTAGTAGTGACTGGATTATAACTGGGACAGTCAGATTAGTGGTGACTGGATTATAACCATGACAACCAGATTAGTGGTGACTTGATTATAACTGGGACAACCAGATTAGTAGTGACTGGATTATAACTGGGACAACCAGATTAGTAGTGACTGGATAATGGGACAACCAGATTAGTGGTGACTGGATTATAACTGGGACAACCAGATTAGAAGTGACTTGATTATAACTGGGACAACCAGATTAGTAGTGACTGGATTATAACTGGGACAACCAGATTAGTAGTGACTGGATTATAACTGGGACAACCAGATTAGTGGTGACTGTATTATAACTGGGACAACCAGATTAGTAGTGACTGGATTATAACTGGGACAACCAGATTAGTAGTGACTGGATTATAACTGGGACAACCAGATTAGTGGTGACTTGATTATAACTGGGACAACCAGATTAGTAGTGACTGGATAATGGGACAAGATTAGTAGTGACTGGATTATACCTGCGACAGTCAGATAAGTAGTGACTGGATTATAATTGGGTAAACCAGATTAGTGGTGACTGGATTATAACTAGGACAACCAGATTAGTAGTGACTGGATAGTGAGACAACCAGATTAGTGATGACTGGATAGTTAACTAGATATTGAGGATTAAATAGGGATACACATGTTTTATAACAGCTGACAAGTTCCCAGAGTTTGGCTTATTTACAAGTTATAACCTTCTGTTACAGTGGATTGTACCTGTAATGAGAAGGGCTCAATGAGCATTACCTGTAACCCCACTACCCGCGAGTGTCGCTGTAAACCAGGGGTCGGTGGTAAACAGTGTAACTACTGCCTCCCTGGCTACTGGGGACTGGCTCTCAACCAGGACAGCGTTGGTTGTGTTCGTAAGTCTATACTGTGAAATTTAAGCCATCTTTTTGAACCAGATAAATGGTTCTCTACATTTGCAACTTGTTAATCTACTATAATAAAGAAAGGGAGATAACTATTGTAACTGATTCTTCCTTATTTACCTCCCGTGAGTAAATTTTTTTTTTTTCTGTTTTTTTCTTTGTATTTTTCAGTTTCATAGAATGAGTTAATTAAAATGGTTGGAAATTATTTTGTCACAATGTATTAACCATTAAAAACTGACCAATATTACTTCTGGCCAAGACTGAATCTGATGTTGACTGTTGACTCTCTTAAGCCTGTAATTGCCACACACTGGGACGTCTTCGTGGGGACTGTAATCAGTCCACGGGAGAGTGCTTCTGTCGACCTAAAATAAAAGGTGCAAAATGTGATCGCTGTCCAGATGGTAGCCGCATAGTGTCAAGATATGGATGTCCGAAAGGTAAGCATTCCATGGAAGTTGGGTCTGTTTGTTTCTTTTAAAAGGTTAAGGGGTCAAATGAGGGATATTGCTGAAATTATGCCTGAAAGTGCTTGCTCTTCCCTTACACCTGGGGTGGGAGGGGGGGTTTGGCTGAAATTTTGGTTTACGATGCTACTCTTTTCTAACGCCAACAACTGCCTGAGTCATTAAGCACAAGTGACATCCATTTTTTATGTCAGCTAGTTGATATGACAAGAACAGATAAATGCATCCCTAAATGGTTTAAAATCTTTTTTTCCACAACACCTGAAATTATTTCAATCAAATTAGGTCTGTATCACCTATCATCATAGGGAGGTCAATGATGTGGTTCTGCCAAAGGTGTAGTGGCTGTGAATTTGGTTTTTCTTAAAGGGTGTGTTGAGAGTGTGAGTATTCCTACCAAACAGTGTAGTGGCTGTTCATTTGTGTTTCCAAAGATAATTTCTGTATTTTCTAAATCTATAATTATTGGTCAAGGTATCTATAGCTACATTTATGTGAAAAAGTCTTCTCCATCAAGGAATGCAGTGTGTGTCTCAATGGAAGGTTACTTGTTAACTAAATCATGTGATATTTTACATACATTATTGTATTTATAGATCCTAATGTGCTGCCTACTCCACGGACATGCCGGGATGTACAATGCGATTTTGGAGGTACCTGTGTGGAGTTCGGAAATCGTGCCTACTGCGACTGCGAATCCTTGCCTTGCTTTGCCGAGGACTGGCCACGTTCTGTAACTGTGTGTGGAAGTGACCTTAACACCTACCAGTCCAAATGCGAACTGAAACGGGCTGCCTGTAACCAGCAGACAAACATCACTGTTGTGTTTATAGGAGAATGTGTATTCCGTGAGTATGTTATTGGAAAATGTGGCATCCAAGAGTATGATACTGAAAAATGACATCTCAGCTCGGAGACAAATATGTTGCCGTGTAGTATAAATATTCTTCCTCACATTATTGGTACAAGGAGCATAATTAGTGAAAGATCAGTCGTCCATCCATCCTTAAATCTTCTTCTTTAAAACTATAAGGAACTGAGTATTGATAGTAAGTCTAGGTTGGAGTCCAATATATTTTCCTTATATGAATGACATTGAACTATTTTCAAAGTCACAGAGGTGAAATAGGTAAAGAAATTGAATAATCGTCTCCCCATGATCCAGAAAATCTAGTCTAGTCTATCAATGGGTACCAGAGTTAGAGTGTCATATAGATGACCTTGGTATATCTGTAACATCATATGGGTCAAATATGTTTTAATTACTACAGAATATTCTTCTTAAGTTCCTTTTGAACACCCTGAATCTGAATATTTTGCCAGGAAATATTTAGGATAGAGTGTGATAATTGTTTTTCTTCTTTTTTCCTTTTTTCGTATAAATGATGTTGACCTATTTTGATTGTCATAAACTGTAAGAATTATCGGAAGTGTCAGAAAATGCAGGATCCTGATATTTGGCCAAAGTGCTTTTCATCGTTCTCTCTTAAAAATGATTATGATCCGTAACAAAGATCTAAGGTTTCAAATGCTTAAAATATTTGAGAAATTTCCTCTTAAATTCCATCTGAGCCAGAGTTTAAGTATATGGTGTTATGCTAGCAAGTATCCTGGGTGGAACAATATAACTTTCCTGGTATAAATTACATAAATGTACCTTATTCTGTTTTCAAGGTCAAATATGTCAAATATGTTTAAAACATGTTAGAAAGTTCTTCTCTGCAAGTTGCAAAAGACCCAGAATTCTGATATTTAACATGGGATAGCGTGTTAGAAATGGTCTTAATCTATAAGAATTGTTTCAAAGGCAGAGGCGTCAAAAATATTTATAAACTTTAGGAATCATTTTTAAAAGTTCCATAAAAAATCAAGGGTACACCTGATCATTTTCAAGCAGGTGCTTGGGGTAGAGTGCTACAGATTTTCCTCTTTTAAATGACCTGCAAGGTCACAGAGGTCAGATTTGCTCAATATCCAAAACCTTTTCTTGAAAACCAGAGCAGTAATTAAATACCATGAACCATAGCACTACATTTAATTTGTGATGTACATTGACTTCTGAAAACAAAGATGAAAAAACACAGTTCATGATTTTAGATCTGTGAGGATAATTCTGTTCTAAAAATATTTCTTGTTGTTTTTAATGTAGAGAGAAAAACCACGGTATCACCATTTATGAATGGGAATCCTCGACGAACACCCCACTACCATGCTACCACTCCAACAACACAACATGAAAGGCCTCGAAGCAGTTACAAAACAACACGGCATGCTGGACCCCCTCCACCTGAGGTCAGCAGTGAGGTGACGCGGACCACTGCGCGACCTGTCACCAACCCACCTCCTCTTGTTGAAGGTAACCCTGTCATTACACCTCTATGACCTGTCACCAACCCTTCTCCTGTTGTTGTAGAAAACTCTGTCGTTATACCTCTCTGACCTGTCACCAACCCTCCTCCTGTTGTTGTAGAAAACTCTGTCGTTATACCTCTCTGACCTGTCACCAACCCTCCTCCTGTTGTTGTAGGTAACCCTGTCATTACACTTCTATGACCTGTCACCAACCCTCCTCCTATTGTTGAAGGTAACTCTGTCGTTATACCTCTCTGACCTGTCACCAACCCTCCTCCTATTGTTGAAGGTAACTCTGTTGTTATACCTCTCTGACCTGTCACCAACCCACCTCCTCTTGTTGTAGGTAACTGTCATTGCACCTCTCTGACCTGTCACCAACCCTCCTCCTCTTGTTGTAGGTAACCTTGTCATTATCTTTTTGATTGTTTCCAAATGGGTATTTGGAAGAACATTGTGAAGAGCAGAGTTTAAAACAATCCCAAATTAAGTTGCCTGGTAAGATCATGCTTTTATAGCAGGCTAAAACAGTCCATGTTTAGGGAAAAAAAATATTTCCAAGATTTAAGGAAACATTTTGCTTTCTTGAACTATTTTAGGCAAAATTTTGGACATCTGCCTTGATGACACATACTGCAGTGTTCAAAACAGCCACTGTCACCTGGGGATTTGTACCTGTTGGGATGGCTACATACCTACATTAGATAACACACACTGTTCAGGTAAGTCTTATCAACTGGAAACACCTGTTGTTATTAATCTGAATTTGTGTTTCTGATCATTATTATTATAAGGGAGTCATTTCTGCGTTAATACGCGAGGAGAGCCAGTTGCGAATTCAAGCCCCTTGATGGATTGCGATTATTTGTAAGAAATGCCTCGTGATGACATCCGTGCTGATTTAGTTACTGCTATATACTGATAGCCCATCATTTGCGAATTTTAAGTCATTTCTAGATCACCGTTCTCGAATTCATGTATTCCCGAATATGTCTGAAAGGTTTCGTTCATGAAATCAAGGATTCATGACATCATCTAAGTGATTTACAGTATTACAGCAATTTCTCCTGTATAATAAAATTCATGTTGATGTGGATTAATCTTTTATCTGTTAAAGATCGTATTTTTTTGAAATTTTGCTAATTTTGTTTTTTTACTGCTGTTACACAGAAGTGAAACAGGTACGTCCTAATCATTCTCACCTGTATGACCAGTCAGCCTGCTCCATAAACCCGTGTCGTAACGAAGGCTTGTGTGTCCCCGATGATCTCCTTGGTTATCGATGTTTGTGTCCCCTTGGAAAGATTGGTCCAAACTGTAAAAGAGGTTAGTACTCTCAACTTTATATAGGCCGAGGTATGTTTTTTTTCTCTCTGTATTTCATAATGGCTGACCGTTCAGTTTTCCAATTGTGGTTAAAATTGTGTTAAGTACAAAACCAAAATGAATGACGTGAATCTATATGGGTCTGAAGCATTCTTGGGTGAATGGGTGTCAATCTTATATAAACGTTAGGTCATTGTTGCATGGGGTAGAAGGGTAGGGCATCGCGAGTTCTTTAAAATCCTACTTCTCCTGAAGGAATAACGGAAATATTGTATATGAATTTGGTCTGAAGCATTATTTTGAGAAGGGTATTCAGTTACATATAAACAGTAGATTCTGGTCCCCTGGGTTCAGAGAAGCAGGATTAAATCATGGAAATAGAGCAAATTCATTGAAATCCTACTTCTCCATTAAGAATGATTGGATTTGCCCAAATTTGGTCAAAAGTATTCTTGGTTGATAGGAAACCAAGTCTGTATAAGGATTGGTTCTTTGAGCCAACAGGGGCTGAGGGATGGGGCCAAAAGGGAAATTTTGCAGGTTCTTTAAAATCCTACTCTGCCTATAAAGCATTCATAGATAAAGCAGAATCGGTTTTGTATAAATGGTAAATCTTGGTCCCTTTGCAAGGGAGGGCAGGTCCCAATAAGGAAAATAGAGCAAATTATCTAAAATTCAACTCCTCCTGTAGGAATGATTGGATTTTGCTCAAATTTGGTCTGAAATATTCTTGGGTGAAGGGGAATCAGTTATGTATAAATGGTGCATCCTAGTCCCCTTGGGAGTTAGGTATGTGGCCCTATTTTGGAAATGTAAGTTCTTAAAAATCCTTCTTCCATATAAGGATATCGTCCAGTCTTTATGAATAGTGAATCTGACTTCTGTTTGACCACCAGGCCAGGACCCTATAGGGAAATTGTGTCAGAAATTTTTTTGTCATATTTGAAATTCTTTATTAAATGGCTGAACAGCTAAATTAGCCAGGTGCATGATGCCAGCCCCATGTGCCTCTTGTTATTACCCTTAGGAATACAGTAATCCAGATGTGACTATATGTATTGTTATTACTTACAGACATAATTATCCAGGTGTGACTATATATGTATCTTTTTTTACTTATAGATGCAATGATCCAGGTGCCATCATTTACCGGAATGTCATACATGTCCGTCACAGAAATTAAAAAGGCTAACGATGATCTCACTATTGAACTGAGTTTCCGCTCTCTGAATGCTGATGGTCTACTTCTGTACAGCAGCCAATTTGTCAACGGAACCGGGGACTTCATCTCCTTAACACTTATAGATCAATACGTAGAGTTCAGGTAAAGTATTTACAGAACAGTCATTAGTAGCTTGTTATACACCGGTATTTATGAGATATTTATCGGTCATTCTGTCAGGTGTGTTAAGTTTAGGACTTTTAGAGCCTTCAAAGCGAACTTGTTTCTGTTATTTGATTTCCAGTGTGAAAATTTGATCCCAAACTGGAGATTTTTGGAGTTGATTACTGTACAAATGGTAGGAATAACATGCTTTAGCAAAAACATGATGAAATTTGAATAAAATAGCCAATAGTCTCAAATTCTGTGGGAAATTTGAATTGGAGATCTTTAGTGTTCTTGTTTTGACCTCATGATAAAAACCTTTAGTCTATAGTTAGTTAGATGCTAGCCTCGTTCCCTATAGAAAACTTCAAAAATCTCCCACAGGTAGATTGTCTCCAACAAAAGTCTGCATTTTCATCCCAATTTCTTTCAGAATTTATTGCTACAACTCTGTACTGAAATTGTAATAGTTCATTTGAAAGTTGTTTGAATTGAATTTCTGGTTTTTTAACTTTGAAATTTTGCGATGTACTTTTTTCCTTCTTTTTTTCTGACTTCGACTAATATTACCTTTCCCACAAGGACTCAAGGTTTTAAAGTATCTAAAAGACTGATTGAAAGACGAAAATGGCTGACTGGTGGCCATCTTGGATTTTGACAGAATTTATCTTGAGAGTTGCTGGTTGAATCACTCTATATATAATTATGTTATCAATCAAACCAAATTAGAATGAAGTGGGAACAATTGTGTTATATAAGGAGTAAAGATTTAATTGTACCCTATTACTGTCAATTATTTCAACAATATCAAACATATTCATCAATATAAAGAACGATTAACAACTTGTATTTATCGTTTTTCAGATTTGACCTAGGTAGCGGTATAGCTATCATTAGAAGCCCAGAGAGGATACCCCTGAATGAGGATTGTCACGTGATTGCTAACCGTTTTAATCGTGAGGGGATGCTGATTGTAAATGATTTCCCAGGCGTTTCTCAGATGAGTCCTGCCTCGCTGGTCTCTCTTGATCTGAAGGGACCTCTGTATATTGGCTTTCTTCCAGAACACGCACGGCTGTGAGTTACATTTGTATCACTCAATCATCACTTTGTTATCCAAGCTTGATAAAATATTAGAAGGGGATATATGGTAATAATGCTGTCCCTATACTTCATTCCGTCTTGACCATGTCACCAATTTCCAGACAATAACACAAGTTCAAGGGGAACCACACCCATGAAACTGAAACTTCACACACTGCTTTTTTTAACAAGAGTATATACTTTTTAATTTTATTCAATTGTTTTTTTGTTCTTAAGGTAAACATGAAGGTCACTGTTACTATAAATAAACAATGGTCCTGATCACCATTTCTGGACATTAACACAAGTTCATATAGTTTGTTTAAACTCAATCATCACACACTGCTGTTATATTGGGAGTACTTGTATGAGATTATTATCAAGTGGGCGAAGCTAGATGGGTTTTTTCATAGAATAATGAAAAGAGAAAATTGATGAGTCAGAATGCTGCATTTTGCGTACAAAAAAACACAAATTAATTATATGTGGATATTGAATTTTTCAGTGGTCTGGAAAGAGCTGGTGTGTACGATGGATTTGTAGGATGTGTTATGTCACTCCAGGCGAGCACATCTCAGCTAGCTAAAGTGTATGACTTGACGTATCCACAAGTAACAGCTGATATTTACGAGGCCAGAGATATAGGTAAGGCAAAGCCCTATGTCAGAATCACGGAACGTGTAATCAAGGACCTGTATGATAAATTTGTATAACACATCTATATAATCTTTACCTGTACACAAATGTCCTTATATGACACATCTATGTAGAATTTACCTGTACACAAATTGCCTTGTACAACACACCTATATAGAATTTACCTGTACACAAATTGCCTTGTACAACACACCTATATAGAATTTACCTGTACACAAATTGCCTTGTACAACACACCTATATAGAATTTACCTGTACACAAATTGCCTTGTACAACACACCTATATACACAAAATACAGAAAATAAAACACCAATATAGACTTTTACCTGTACATTAATTTCCATGTGTAACACAACTGTACAGAATACCTTTACGTTAATTACCTGGTATATCACTCCTGTAGGGAATTTACCTTTATATGAATTACTTGGTAAAAAATACTTTTAAAGAATTGATCTTGAAACAAACCTGTATAGAATTAACACACCTGAACAAAAATCGCTTAATTAATTCTGGTTTATTAATTCCAACAGGTGAATGTGGCCAGAATCCTTGTTCCAGCCTTCCCTGTCAACATGGTGGGACGTGTCTAATGTCTGATGCTGAAATATTTACCTGTCTTTGTGAGGAGGGCTACACAGGTTGTGTGATTTCTAAAGAGTTTCAATAACGCTAGGGTTACCCTCATCTTAATGTGTCTTAATAATTTCTAGGTCACCCTCATCTTAATGTGTCTTAATAATTTCTAGGTCACCCTTATCTTAATGTGTCTTACTAATTCTAGGTCACCCTCATCTTAATGTGTCTTAATAATTCTTGGTCACCCTCATCTTAATGTGTCTTAATAATTCTAGGTCACCCTCATTTTAATGTGTCTTAATAATTTCTGGGTCACTTTCATCTTACTGTGTCTTAATAATTCTAGGTCACCCTCATCTTACTGTGTCTTAATAATTTTGAGTTTGCTCTCATCTTACTATGTCTTAATAATTTCTAGGTCACCCTCATCTTAATGTGTCTTAATAATTCTAGGTCACCCTCATTTTAATGTGTCTTAATAATCTCTGGGTCACTTTCATCTTACTGTGTCTTAATAACTTTTGGGTCATCCAGATTTATTTCATTTATCTTATATGAAAATCAAGACAAACATAAGTTGCTTCATATATGGGTATTAAATTATACATGATTCAAATACCTTCAGCAAACCTTTAAGAAAACAATTTTTTATATTTATAAAACATTATCTAATGATGTTCAATTATAGGTGTCAGTTAAGCTGACAATCATGGCTGTCAATCATATCTCGACTCTTTTGATGTGATTGCTGTCTGATAAGAGAAAAAATATGCAAGTGTTATAACACTCAAGTTTTGTGAAAAAACATATATTTTTTAAAACAACATTCAAAATAATCCATATCTCCATGTTACAAGGATATTTTGTCTTTTCAACCAAATTACGACTTTGTTGTGAAAATTCAACTGTGACATTTTACTATTCCCAGGAGACAACTGTGAAATCATCATGAATCCATGTGTGAGTGCAGTATGTCAACATGGTGCCACCTGTCGTCAAACACTCGGAGGTACTGGGTACGAATGTGTCTGTCCAGACAACCGTGAAGGAGAATTCTGTGAATATGGTAAAGATATTCTATAACTTACCTGAGATACAGAGTCAGTACTGTGGGATATTAAATACCTTTCATGCTATTTATGAACCTAAAGACCTAGATTCATTATACGTGATTAATCATAGGTTCCTGGAATATAAAACCAAACAAATTTTGCAAAAAAAAAATTACCTTGACCAATATTCAAAGACGCATGCAGGTGTATAAATTAGTTAAAATACTCAAAACATACTTCTTTGTATTACCTGAAAAACCTTAATTCATCACATTTATCCTAAATGTTCCTAGGATAAAACCTGATATCTTTAATAAATTCCTTTGACAAAGCCTTTCTTATCAGAAGCAAACCGAATAGATATACCCATATTCAAGTTCATGTGGGTCAAGGTAGTGAAAAATGCTCAAATATTTTTCTGATGGACCAGATCGATGGTTTGTATTCATAATATTTGCTGGTAGGTTGACCTTGGACAAAGTTGACTCAATGCAATGACCTTGATGATTATTTAATGTCACAGATGTTGCAAATTCATGTCAAATTCATTGTTATGTTATGAACAGCTGAGCAGATTTTGACAAAGTTTGATCAGAAGCATCCTTTGGTAAAGCATAATCCATTTTGTATAAACAATGGGTTTTACCACCTTGGTTGAAGAAGAGCAGGCCCAAAATATATATAAATCTTTGAAATACTTTTCCTTTAGATGAAGCACTTTCATTGAACTGTATAAACCAGGTGAGCAATACAGGCTTAATAGACCACTTATGTATTGTTCTGAAAAATGTCCTTGATATCTGTAGTCAAAAGAATGCCATTGGAAGAAATTACATTGAATTATCCTTACAAAAGTATTTCAATTACTGTTTCTTTTATCCCTTTCATTGCAGAAAAATTACATAAGATATTTGTTCCGGAATTTAATGGTAGTTCCTACATTCAGTGCCCTCTAGGAGATGTTAGCAGTACTGCACTCTCACTCAAAGTCTGGTTTTTAACACGTAAACCTAATGGTAAGTACAGAACTCTCTCTCCAAATGTGGTTTACAGTATGTGCATGTAAATCTAAAGGCGAGAATAGAACTCTCACTCAAATTCAGGGTTATGGTTTATTAACCTAAAAGAGAGTACTTGAAATATTCCTACACTGTTGGCAGTTCATGAGCTGGTAATTCACAATGGTTTTTGTAATGTTACATTGCAGTAAACCATACAATAGCAAATATGATATGTTTATCTAAATTTGAATACAGAAGTTTCAATGGTGATAATGAATTAATTTTAATGGAGAATAAAGTATTTCCAAGAGACACCAACAGATATATAATTGGGTTTTTGAACACCAGCTGGATAGTAGTTAAAATACACAATGATACCCTTAACTTAGTCATGATCTATATGTGATAAGGTTTTGGTGGTCATCAGTCAAGGTTGGAATTTCTGGGCTTTAGAACTTCGTTATTTTCCGCAGTTTGGCAGGGAAAAGGGGTACTAGTTTTGTAGAATCAACTCCTCCCAGCATTTTTGACGTAGAGGCTTGAAACTTTGTAGGATGTTTATATACATATGTTGAAGATGTGCACCTCCTATTATGGATTCATTCCGAAGAGTCAGTCACAAAGATCAAAGGTAGTTAGATACCTAATAGCTAGGGGTGGCAGTTGATATTATGCACAGTTTACATTACATGTACAGTGAAGTTGAAATTATCTTGCTTGATTATGAACAAGATTACATCCTTGGTATATGTTACAAAAATAGATAAAAAGGCATATTTTTGGAGCATCTAACATGTCCAACATTACTTGTCTACTTACAGGGGTACTGATGCATGCCAGCCAGTTTCCTCATGGACTCGGGGATTTTGTATCCGTAAACATCGTAGAGCGACACATCGAGTTCCGCTTCAACATGGGAAGTGGCACGGTGGTAATCAGGTAGGATGCCTGTACACTGTAAAACCTCTCTTATACACCACCAGTCTAGTACAATTTGTATCACTGAATTTCACTAATATAAAACTAGGCGTAACAAAATTACTTCCTAGATATTCCACAGTGCACAGGTGTCAAATTTAGGTCTCAGATCATTAAGGTATAAATATAGGTCTCAGATCAGTAATGTGTATTTAGGTCTCAAAACAGTAAGGTATATTTTGGTCTCAAAACAGTAAGGTATATTTAGTTCTCAAATCATTAAGGTATATGTAGGTCTCAAATCAGTAAATTATATATTTAGATGTCAGATCATTAAGGTGTAAATATAGGTCTCGGATCATTAAGGTATGTAGTGTCAGACTGACCCCACAAATACAATTACTGTATGTTAGTGAACAGGACACTTATTACCTGAAAAACATTCCATCAAACCTGTCCATAAGGGCCACTCACAGGAGAGAAATTTGACCTCGATATTTAGGTGGTCTGTACACAGAAGATTCTCAATTTCTACGAGTTTAATTATATGTGAATCAAAACAGGTGTCTATTAGGTATACAGTCTTTAAGAGAGGTTTAACAACGGTTGTAGTTAGACCTATAGAAGAAAATGAATTAACTTGTAATTAGTCTGTACAATTAATGAGGTCAATTAATCCTTAATTGGTTTTTAAGGTTATTATAACTATGTGTTGAAAATATGTTTCCATTTCTACTGATTTCAGGAGTGATGAGAAGATAGAAATCAATAAATGGCATGAAGTGTATGTACAGAAAGTAGATAGGGCTGGGACACTGGTTATAGACAGCAGTGAGGAACGGCTCACTATGGCAGAATCTCAGGTAACATTGAGTTAAAGGTAACACAGAGTTACAGGTAATGCTGAGATGTCAGTGAGTCTCGGATAACACTGAGGTGCCAGTGAGTCTCAGGTAACACTGAGGTGCCAGTGAGTCTCAGGTAACACTGAGGTGTCAGTGAGTCTCAGGTAACACTGAAGTGTCAGTGAGTCTCAGGTAACACTGCGGTGTCAGTGAGTCTCAGGTAACACTGAAGTGTCAGTGAGTCTCAGGTAACACTGAGGTATCAATGAGTCTCGGATAACACTGAGGTGTCAGTGAGTCTCAGGTAACACTGAGGTGTCAGTGAGTCTCAGGTAACACTGAGGTGTCAGTGAGTCTCAGGTAACACAGAGGTGTCAGTGAGTCTCAGGTAACACTGAAGTGTCAGTGAGTCTCAGGTAACACTGAAGTGTCAGTGAGTCTCAGGTAACACAGAGGTGTCAGTGAGTCTCAGGTAACACTGAGGTGTCAGTGAGTCTCAAGTAATACTGCCAGATATCTGTGAGTCTCTGATGTAATGCCAGGTTGTCAGTGAATCTCAAGTTGATATTACTTGACTAATGCATAAAAATAGATCTACATTTATACAAGCAATGTAGCTGGCTGATTATAAAGAATGATTAGTGTGATAGTAATAAGACGTATCATATAGCTATAATGCCTACCTAACATGTTCCATTTTATGTCCTTAAAATAACTTTACTGATCTTGTTTAATAGGGAGGACTGACAGAGCTGAACCTTCAGGAAAGTAATCTGTTTTTAGGAGGTTTCAGGAATAACAACACCATTCCAGTTGACTCTAATATCCTCTATAATTTTACTGGTGTGATACAGAGGGTAAGTTTTCTCTCCAGTATCCTCTATATCCTCTATAATTTTACTGGTGTGATACAGAGGGTAAGTTTTCTCTCCAGTATCCTCTATAATTTTACTGGTGTGATACAGAGGGTAAGTTTTCTCTCCAATATCCTCTTACTGGTGTGATACAGAGGGTAAGTTTTCTCTCCAATATCCTCTATAATTTTACTGGTGTGATACAGAGGGTAAGTTTTCTCTCCAATATCCTCTATAATTTTACTGGTGCGATACAGAGGGTAAGTTTTCTCTCCAATATCCTCTAGAATTTTACTGGTGCGATACAGAGGGTAAGTTTTCTCTCCTTTACAAGCTGGCATTATGCGTTGAATTAATTTTTTTTATTAATTTTTAATTAAGTTTATTAATTATATTTCAAATATAAGTAGGTTCCTAAGGTTTCTCATCAGTACTGAGATCATCAGATTCAGAAAATAAGACAACAAATTGCTATAGTAGTTTTTGAAGCAGTTGTATGCTTCACTTTGTCTTAAAATTTCTATTTGGTATAAAGTTTTCACTTTGTAATGATGTTTTATGATAACTGGAGACCTCTGCTTTGATTAGATAGATATGTAATAGAAAATAAGTAGAATTCAACAGAGGATATTCAAGTAGAACACATTTCACTTTAATACTGTTAAAATATCGTAATTGTAGATCTATATAAATGGTCGCCTGGTAGACAATATTATGGAGGTGGCTCGAGACGCTGTCAATATCCAGGAATACATGGGAAATCCCTGCAACGTCAATCCCTGTCTCAACGGAGGCGTGTGTGTGCCCAAACTCAACGCTGCTGACTGCAAGTGCCCGATGAAATACCTCGGTCAACGGTGTGAGAAACGTACGTAACAACAGCCAACACCTAGCAATATACCCTACAGTGTGCTCTGATCTCAAGGTCACTGATGAATGTTTCATCAATTATTCTGATGTGCAACATATCATAGCTTAGTCGATAATTAGAGCTGAGAGCTATGAATTATTTATAGTCTTTGGGGCAGTTATGAGATGATGCAGCTTTCTTCACACCCAAACATATTATAATTAGTTAACACCTTCCTTTAGTTCAAGGAGAACCTTGTGTTAAACGTGAAAATTGAACATTAATATTTAATATCATTGGTTCATTCGAGAAGATTAGCTGATGTTCATTGTCTGTCAGTTTTTATATGCCCAACGGAAACTTTGAGGGATTTATTGAAAGTATGTCAGTCCCTGGTGTAACATTGTAAACATGAATTTGTTTCTTCTGGTATTCTTAATCACCATAACATGAATTTGTGTTATGCTGAACAGCAGTTTGATGTGTATGTATTAGAAATGAAGTGACTTCCCCATGTTTGTTTCAAATTATTCATTTTGTTGTTTGTCTCCTCAATCTCAGTCTTCAGCCATTATTATTAGCTCACCTGGCCCAAAGTGCCAAGTGAGGTTATGCCATAGCCCAACAAAGTTTGCAAATAGAAATGAGGTCAAATATGGTAAAACATTTAAACAGCTTCTTCCAAAATACCAGAAGGCCTTGAATCATTATATTTGGCTGGAAGGTTCCTCTGATGGAGCATAACAAAAGAAATTTCCTTGACCCTTATTCAAAGTCGCAGAGGTCAAGTGTGTTTAAATGACTTCTCCCCAAATAACAGAAGGCCTAGAATCATAATATTAGGCTACTATGTTCCTCTTGTGGTGTTCTACAAAGTTTGCTAAAAGAAATTACCTTGACCAATCTTCAAGGTTACAGGGGTCAAATGTGTTAAAATGTTTAAACAATTTCTTCTAGAATCATTATATATGGCTGAAAGGTTCCTTTGGTGAAGCCCAACAAAGTTTGTTAGAAGAAATGACCTTGTCTCATATTCAAGGTCACAGAGGTCAAATATATTATTAAAACCTTTGGAAAGAATCATTATATTTGGCTGGAAGGGTCCTTTGATGAAGCCCAACAAAGTTTGTTAGAAGAAATGACCTTGTCTCATATTCAAGGTCACAGAGGTCAAATATATTAAAACCTTTAAACGACTTCTTCCAAATTACTGGAAGGCCTAGAATCATTATATTTGGCTGGAAGGGTCCTTTGATGAAGCATAAGAAAGTTTGCAAAAATAAATTACCTTGACCCATATTTAAGGTCGCAGAAGTCAAATGTGTTAAAACCTTTAAACGACTTCTCCCGAAACACCGGAAGGCCTAGAATCATTATATTAGACTACTATGTTCCTCTTATGGTGTCCTATAAAGTTTGCTAAATGAAATGACCTTGACCAGTCTGCAAGGTCACAGGTGTCAAATGTGTTCAAGCGTTTAAACAATTTCTTCTGAAATATCGAAAAGCCTAGAAGCATTATATTTGGCCAGTATGTTCCTTTTATGAAGTCCAAGAAAGATTGCCAAAAAAAATGACCCATAGTCAAGGTCAGAGGGGTCAAATGTGTTACACGTGGAACATATGCACAGAAATAGTACTGTTGGTCATAAAGATCCAGGTGAGCGATACAGGCCCTCTGGGGCTCTTGTTTTCAATGATTTTCATACAAATCGCCCTCCATTTTTTTCCCCCAACATTTTGTCCCCCTTCTATCCCCATAGATCTGCTCTTTCAGTTTTTAAACGATTTCTTTGAAACTTATAAGGCTTTATAACCATGACAAGAAATTTTGTTTTGATGATAATGCAACATCATCTTGATTTTATTAACTTTTTGAAAAAGTTATTACTTTTAGCTTTGATTCTGTCAGGAGTTCTGCTCTTTTAGCTTACAACCATGAGTATGAAATACTGTTTTACCTGCTGCATTTTGACAGGAAAGTTTTGGCAGAGTTATTGCCCTTTGTTCTTTCTTGCCAGGTATGGGTCCCACCACAGTTTGGTTAGAACTTATTTCCTTCATGCTTGTATGGCTATAAATGACATGCAATCCCTCTCACCAGTGCTTTGATTAGATGGTTATCATTTCATTTCCATATTTGTATGGAATATGGAAATTACATATTTATCTTTGCTATAGGTACAGGTGTATATTGTTCTATTCCACAATACTCTTTAACTGATCTTCAATACAAATCACTTAATATTGATATAAAGTGCCTTTGGTAATCAGTTTAACATTAATATTGTTACCAGTATCAAAGGGAGGGAAGGTATTACCAGTTCCTATGATTCTGATTTCAAGTTTTCGTGCACTTTTTTGACAGAATATGAAATGTCCACAGGACAGCATAACAGGCCAACTTGACCTTTTTTATTAATGTTTAAAGAAAATATTCATGATTTCGTGTCTTTTTTTCCATCTTGGCAGGTTCTGATGCTATAAACAAAGACTTGCCTGTTAAATTTGATGGACACACCTTTCTTCGATATCCAAATGAAATATCCCATGAGTAAGTAAACCTTGTACCGGCAGATTATAAATGTTGTCAGTTAACACATGTTCATTTTTAACTTAGCTCATTAATAAGTAACTTAACTCATTAATAAGTAACTTATCTCATTAATAAATAACTTATCTCATTAATAAGTAACTTTGCTCCTTTATAATAACTAAGAGCTGGTTAATAAGTAACTTAGCTTGGTTTATAATTATCTTAGCTTTATAATAAGAATCTTACCTTGTTAAGTGTTGGCACTTGGTTTTGTAAACAAACTTGTAAACAACAAAACAAATAAAGCTTTTGTAAATAAACATATTATGCAATAAAATTAGACAGATATTAGTGCAGAAGTCTCTTGTCTTATGGTCTTGACTGCTAAACCTTAATCACTCTATGTGAATGATATAAACTGGAATTTTTATGTTATGTTTATCTTTTGTAAAGGGTTCCAGGACAACGCACAAACAAGTACACAATAAAATTTCGAGTTGCAAGAAATGGTCTCCTCTTGTTCCAACAAGGAGCACTTCCTGTGTTAGAGGATTACTTGGCCATCGCTGTGGTGGACGGACGAGTTCAGCTCAGCTACAATCTTGGTCGTCAGAATGAAAACGACCTTCATATCATAACATCAACAGTACCAGTGGACAATGGACAGTGGCATACTTTGGTAGTCAACAGGTCAGTATCATACACAGACAGGGTAGGAATATGGTTATTGTATTGTCATTGTAGTAGTCAGTGTAGGTAACAGAGACTGTCATTTTAGTGGTCAGTGTAGGTAACACAACTGTCATTGTAGTGGTCAGTGTAGGTAACAGAGGCTGTCATTGTAGTGGTCAGTGAAGGTAACAGAGGCTGTCATTGTAGTGGTCAGTGAAGGTAACACAGCTGTCATTGTAGTGGTCAGTGTAGGTAACAGAGGCTGTCATTGTAGTGGTCAGTGAAGGTAACAGAGGCTGTCATTGTAGTGGTCAGTGTAGGTAACACAGCTGTCATTGTAGTGGTCAGTGTAGGTAACAGAGGCTAAAAATTGTAGTGGTCAGTGTAGGTAACAGAGGCTAAAAATTGTAGTGGTCAGTGTAGGTAACAGAGGCTGTCATTGTAGTGGTCAGTGTAGGTAACAGAGACTATAAATTGGAGTGGTCAGTGTAGGTAACAGAGACTGTCATTGTAGTGGTCAGTGTAGGTTACAGAGGCTAAAAATTGCAGTGGTCAGTGTAGGTAACAGAGACTGTCATTGTAGTGGTCAGTGTAGGTAACAGAGGCTGTCATTGTAGTGGTCAGTGTAGGTAACAGAGGCTGTCATTGTAGTGGTCAGTGTAGGTAACAGAGGCTGTCATTGTAGTGGTCAGTGTAGGTAACAGAGGCTGTCATTGTAGTGGTCAGTGTAGGTAACAGAGGCTGTCATTGTAGTGGTCAGTGTAGGTAACAGAGGCTAAAAATTGTAGTGGTCAGTGTAGGTAACAGGGACTGTCATTGTAGTGGTCAGTGTAGGTAACAGGGACTGTCATTGTAGTGGTCAGTGTAGGTAACAGAGACTGTCATTGTAGTGGTCAGTGTAGGTAACAGAGGCTGTCATTTTAGTGGTCAGTGTAGGTAACAGGGACTGTCATTGTAGTGGTCAGTGTATGTAACAGAGGCTGTCATTTTAGTGGTCAGTGTAGGTAACAGGGACTGTCATTGTAGTGGTCAGTGTAGGTAACAGAGGCTGTCATTGTAGTGGTCAGTGTAGGTAACAGAGGCTGTCATTTTAGTGGTCAGTGTAGGTAACAGAGACTGCTCAGTTAAGGGACAGAGACAAGTCTGTATAGGGAACAGAGACTGATCAGTGTGAGGAACAGAAACTAGTCGCTGAAGGGGAGATAGACTGGTCAACGTAGGAATAGAGTCTGGTCATAGTAGGGAACAGAGACTCAGCAATATAGGCCTTTTTCCATCCGCACCAGTTAAATAGCTGGCTATCAACTCTCTTCAAATAAATGACCTGACAAACTTCAGGGTATGAAATGTGTGAATACCTTGTTATGTGCAAAAACCGACTTTTCTTGACTTTTAACATGTACTGTTTAGAAGGGTCATAGAAATTTGTCACAATCTTTTCTTTGTGCAAACTTTTGTTTTTTAATCTGCATGATAGATGAATTAACATGACACGTTGTTTATTACAGAGATGAAAGACAAGCAACTCTACAGGTAGACGAGGAACGACCAGTGAAAGGTGTGTCCTCTGAGGGAGCCTCACAGCTCGACACTGATGGCAATCTCTGGATTGGTAGGTTTAAATGTGTCCATAAAGTTAATATGCTACAAAACTGAGGATATTGTACATATCTGATACTGTGATATCTGTAATTTTCATGAAGGATTCTTTTTCATGATTTTGTGTATATACCCATAATCCACAAATTCATGTGTCCACATTTTGTCATTTTGTTAAAATTTGTATAATTTTTTTTTTTTTTTTTTTAAATTAGTCTGCAAAATTAATTATCAATGAAAATGTATTTTTATGAAATAACACCACGGATTAGTACAGAGTATGGCATCTAGGCAGATTTATAGTTATCTTTAGGGATTCTTTCCATGTTTAAGAACATTTGATCTTAATCTAATTGAACGTAATGTTGAAGTTGAACTTGACAACTGACCTTGAATGCTCTGCTCTCTCTGATTCTAAATTTTATGCTCCCTAAAAGGAGAGCATATAGTCTGTCTGTCTGTCCCTCAATCTGTCCAACATAATTCTGTCTGTAACATATAACAAAAACTTTGTGAGGTATCAGTATGAAATTTTATAATTAGATAGATCTTGATCAAGATCAAGGTTGATCAAGAACCATAACTCTGTTTTGTATAATTTAGGAGTCGTTGCCTTTTGTTATTTCTGATACTTAAATATTGTCCGAAACATAACACAAAAACTATTAGCGTTCTCAACATAAAAATTCTAGCATTTATTATGGGCGTATCGATCAGTTCTCTTGTTATTGAGAGGTGATATTAGTTTGTGTGCAATGATGAAGTGTAACAAAGAATTAAATCATAAAACATCGACATTTTTCTTTTGTTTGCAGGAGGAAAAAGTAGCCTGCCACATGGACTGCCAAATCAATACTACGATGGGTTTAGGGGCTGTATTGAAGAAGTTTATATAAATGACCATAAGCTTCAGATGATTGACCACAGAAGTGACCAAAGATCCCCTATAGTCAGGTTCTGTGTATGATAAATGTTTACTGGATATTGGTCAGTGTAAAAATACAAGTGGACTTCTGAACAAATGTGCTTGATTTGACCAACACAATAGGAATGTCCAACGCTGAGATACCAAAGTGTTGCCATAGTAACTTGTGACTTACATAAGGATGGATCATTCAGCTGTAGATCTCTAAGAGACCACTGCCCTGATGAGATTAAGAAATGATCACATCTTATACATCATAAGTTTATCTTAAATGATTGTTATCAGAAGAATGGTCTACAGACAAAATTGACAAATTGATCACTCTGTCAACCAAATGTGTCTGTATTAATTCTCTGATGTCTGTCACCAGGACATGTCAATTTGACTTCCTCAATGTCTGTTTCAACTGGACATGTCCAGGTGACTTCTACAATGTCTGTGTCAACAGGATGTGTCAATTTGACTTTTGCAATGTCTGTGTCAACAGGATGTGTCATTTTGACTTTCACAATGTCTGTGTCAACAGGGTGTGTCAATTTGACTTCTGCAATGTCTGTGTCAACAGGATGTGTCAATTTGACTTCTGCAATGTCTGTGTCAACAGGATGTGTCAGTGTGACAACTACAGTTTGTATGTCGTTAGGACATATCAACATGACTCTTACCATGTTTTTGTCAGCAGGATTTGTCAATGTAAAAACTTCAGTATATCAATAGGATATGTGAATTTGACCTGTGCCTGTCTGAATGTGACGGACTTATCAATGTATCACCATCCATTCACAAGTAATATCTGTTACAAGCTTCACTTGAACTAAGCCAGTGTATGCCAGGTACATAAAGCCAATCATCCTCCCAGTCAAATCTGATGAGATTTTTGCGCGTACAGAGACAACCATTTCTGACTGATCTATGTATCAACAGGTACATTATGATTGTGTGTTTAGAATGAAGGTCAGTTTGAAGTGGTGTTTGACAGTTTTGAGAAGAGGAAATTTGGAAGGATTATGAGGAAAAATCTTAATGATACATGGTTATTGTGTAATTGTCAGATGAACTACACAGTTAGAGTGGCACCACATTGTGGAATTAATGTTGAGATGTTCTTACCACTGAACAAGACATAGGAATTGACAGAAATGTGTTTGTGGTGTGGTTTTGAAGTTTAAGTAGCATCTTATTGTAAAGGAGCAGCTGGAAGTGGTACCTTATCTATACAATGTACATGATCTGTGGGAAAGGACCCTAGAAAGGCATACACATAACCTAGAAACGGTGTAAAAAAACCACAGGAAAGTTTGTTAGAAGGAGCAGTGCAGGTTTTAGACCTGATTATCTCCAAAACATTAGAGAAAGACTCGGGGACAGAATGGAAAAGTGTTGTTATAAACAACGAAAGAAAATGAAAACAGGACACAGGGGAAAAGTGTTATATTGGAAAGAAATAGGACACAGCCGAAAAACATTGTGGTAAAAAGAAATAGGACACAGCAGAATGGTGTTATATTAGAAAGAAATAGGACACAGCAGAAAAGATGTTTTGCGTTGGTGAATGTTGATGGTTGAAATTGTTGCATAATTTTGTTTTCTTTAACACTTTATGATTTCGGATTAGAATTACATGTGATTTTTTTTTGGTTATTGTAAATGTAATGTCTCGGATACATGGATAATGAACGTATACTATGATTAAATCTCGATGTCTAGTTACTTCATAAAGCTGGCCTCATCACAAGGCTTCATGGAAGTAATGATAGTTACATCATGGTAAGTCGTGTAGGTTAATATTAAGATACATGTTGTGATTTCATGTAAATTACTTTGGAGGTATATGTTTTTGTGGCTGTCAAGCTGATATGACAAAAAATGAAAGTATTGGTGTACGTAACACTGCTTATATAATGTATATACATTTTTTTTTTATTTCATTCTGTGAATATTTCACTGAATTCATTTCCAGAAACAAAAGCGGATTACCAAATTTTATTCCTGAAGGCTATCATATATTCACATTGAATTAAGGCCATTTTGAATTTCACCTCTCGATGAATATACTATTGATGTTAAACACCAACCGTGATCATAAGATGGTGGGTGTCATGATCACGAACCAGGTCCATCTGATGGTGGGTGTCATGACCACGAACCAGTTCCATCTGATGGTGGATGTCATGATCAGTTTGGTATGTCTTATTCAACTTAAATATATGTTTACTTCAGTTATGGCTGATAATTTGCTTCACAAAGATTAATATAAAAAAGTGTCTTAGATTTGGTGGCAAGATATGACATCTTGTTTATGGAATAGTTATCTAAGTTGTAGTATGTCTAAAGTTTTATTTCACAACATTTGGTTCAACTTTAATGTGTTCAGGTCATAGATAACAGAACTTTATTATCATGTTAGTTCTATTTATAGTTTGAACTTGACATGCTAATAGAACTGTGTTACTGCAAATGTTTACGTCATATGTGTTTTAAGATTAATGTGTTCAGATTAAAAAATTTATCACTGCATCAGTTGATGTCATGTGGTTTGAACTAGATATCACGTCAGTTTATGTCATGTGGTTTGAACTAGATATCACTACGTCATTTGATGTCATGTGGTTTGAACTAGATATCACTATGTCAGTTGATGTCATGTGGTTTGAACTAGATATTACTACGTCAGTTGATGTCATGTGGTTTGAACTAGATATCATCACTATCAGTTGGTGTCATGTGGTTTGAACTAGATATCATCACTATCAGTTGATGTCATGTGGTTTGAACTAGATATCACTGCATCAGTTGATGTCATGTGGTTTGAACTAGATATCACTACATCAGTTGATGTCATGTGGTTTGAACTAGATATCACTACGTCAGTTGATGTCATGTGGTTTGAACTAGATATCACTACGTCAGTTGATGTCATGTGGTTTGAACTAGATATCACTACATCAGTTGATGTCATGTGGTTTGAACTAGATATCATCTCTATCAGTTGATGTCATGTGGTTTGAACTAGATATCACTACATCAGTTGATGTCACGTGGTTTGAATTAAATATCATTGCATCATTTATGTTGTACAATCTCCATGTGCTAATTAATTAAGAATGCCAGCTTCATTTTGGAGGAATTCTCTCCAATGAAATAAACTATTGTTATAAACCATGTTGTATGCGTCATTGTTTGTCATTACCACACAGTGTTATCTGAGATATCTGGACTAGTTCTGTAGTTTTATCTGAGATATTGGGACTAGTTCTGTAGATTTATCTGAGATATTGGGACTAGTTCTGTAGTTTTATCAGAGATATTGGGCCTAGTTCTGTAGATTTATCTGAGATATTGGGACTAGTTCTGTAGATTTATCTGAGATATTGGGGCTAGTTCTGTAGATTTATCTGAGATATTGGGACTAGTTCTGTAGATTTATCTGAGATATCTGGACTAGTTCTGTAGATTTATCAGAGATATTGGAACTAGTTCTGTAGTTTTATCTGAGATATTGGGACTAGTTCTGTTGTTTATCTGAGATATTGGGACTAGTTCTGTAGTTTTAACTGAGATATCTGGACTAGTTCTGTAGATTTATCTGAGATATTGGGACAAGTTCTGTAGTTTTATGTGAGATATTGGGACTAGTTCTGTTGTTTATCTGAGATATTGGGACTAGTTCTGTAGTTTTATCTGAGATATTGGGGCTAGTTCTGTAGATTTATCTGAGATATTGGGACTAGTTCTGTAGTTTTATCTGAGATATTGGGACTAGTTCTGTTGTTTATCTGAGATATTGAGACTAGTTCTGTAGATTTATCTGAGATATTGGGACTAGTTCTGTAGTTTTATCTGAGATATTGAGACTAGTTCTGTAGATTTATCTGAGATATTGGGACTAGTTCTGTAGTTTTATCTGAGATATTGGGGCTAGTCCTGTAGATTTATCTGAGATATTGGGACTAGTTCTGTAGATTTATCTGAGATATCTGGACTAGTTCTGTAGATTTATCGGCGATATTGGGACTAGTTCTGTAGTTTTATCTGAGATATTGGGACTAGTTCTGTTGTTTATCTGAGATATTGGGACTAGTTCTGTAGATTTATCTGAGATATTTTAGTTCTGAGATATTGGGACTAGTTCTGTAGATTTATCTGAGATATTGAGACTAGTTTTGTTTATCTGAGATATTGGGACTAGTTCTGTAGTTTTATCTGAGATATTGGGACTAGTTCTGTAGATTTATCTGAGATATTGGGACTAGTTCTGTAGATTTATCTGAGATATTGGGACTAGTTCTGTAGATTTATCTGAGATATTGGGACTAGTTCTGTAGATTTATCTGAGATATTGGGACTAGTTTTGTAGATTTATCTGAGATATTGAGACTAGTTCTGTAGTTTTATCTGAGATATTGGGACTAGTTCTGTAGTATTATCGGAGATATTGGGACTAGTTCTGTAGATTTATCTGAGATATTGGGACTAGTTCTGTAGATTTATCTGAGATATTGGAACTAGTTCTGTTGTTTATCTGAGATATTGGGACTAGTTCTGTAGATTTATCTGAGATATTGGGACTAGTTTTGTTTATCTGAGATATTGGGACTAGTTCTGTAGATTTATCTGAGATATTGGGACTAGTTTTGTTTGACTGAGATATTGGGCCTAGTTCTGTAGTTTTATCTGAGCCTAGTTCTGTAGTTTTATCTGAGATATTGGGACTAGTTCTGTAGATTTATCTGAGATATTGGGACTAGTTCTGTAGTATTATCTGAGATATTGGGACTAGTTCTGTAGTTTTATCTGAGATATTGGGACTAGTTCTGTGAGATATTTATCTGTAGATTTATCTGAGATATTGGGACTAGTTCTGTAGATTTATCTGAGATATTGGGACTAGTTCTGTAGATTTATCTGAGATATTGGGACTAGTTCTGTAGATTTATCTGAGATATTGGGACTAGTTCTGTAGATTTATCTGAGATATTGGGACTAGTTCTGTAGTTTTATCTGAGATATTGGGACTAGTTCTGTAGTTTTATCTGAGATAT